GAGGTTGCTTGGTTTTCACTCTGAGGTTAATTGGACATCACTTAGACGTCACTTGGACGTCCTTTTTTTTTTTCAAAATTTTTTTTTTTTTTTTTCCAAAAAAAAAAAAATTCTAAAAAAAAAAATTTTTCAAAAAAGGTCACAGACGTCACTAGAAGGTCACTTTGAGGTCACTTGAGATCACCTGGAGGTTGCTTGGTCTTCACTCTGAGCTCACTTGGACATCACTTGAGATCAACTGGAGGTTGCTTGGTCTTCACTCTGAGCTCACTTGGACATCACTTGAGATCAACTGGAGGTTGCTTGGTCTTCACTCTGAGGTCACTTGGAGGTCGCTTGGACGTCACTTTTTTTTCCAAAAATTTTTTTTTCTATTTTTCCCAAAAAAAAAAAAAAAAATTCTAGAAATTACAGAAAAATTCTAAAAAAAAAAATTTTTCAAAAAAGGTCACAGACGTCACTAGAAGGTCACTTTGAGGTCACTTGAGATCACCTGGAGGTTGCTTGGTCTTCACTCTGAGCTCACTTGAGATCACTTGAGATCACCTGGAGGTTGCTTGGTCTTCACTCTGAGCTCACTTGGACATCACTTGAGATCAACTGGAGGTTGCTTGGTCTTCACTCTGAGCTCACTTGGTCATCACTTGAGATCACCTGGATTTTGCTTGGTCTTCACTCTGAGGTTGCTCGGACATCACTTAGACGTCACTTGGACGTCCCTTTTTTTTTTCAAAATTTTTTTTTCTATTTTTCCGAAAAAAAAAAAATTCTAAAAAAAAAAATTTTTCAAAAAAGGTCACAGACGTCACTAGAAGGTCACTTTGAGGTCACTTGAGATCACCTGGAGGTTGCTTGGTTTTCACTCTGAGGTTAATTGGACATCACTTAGACGTCACTTGGACGTCCTTTTTTTTTTTCAAAATTTTTTTTTTTTTTTTTCCAAAAAAAAAAAAATTCTAAAAAAAAAAATTTTTCAAAAAAGGTCACAGACGTCACTAGAAGGTCACTTTGAGGTCACTTGAGATCACCTGGAGGTTGCTTGGTCTTCACTCTGAATTCACTTCGACATCACTTGAGATCACCTGGAGGTTGCTTGGTCTTCACTCTGAGCTCACTTGGACATCACTTGAGATCAACTGGAGGTTGCTTGGTCTTCACTCTGAGCTCACTTGAGATCACTTGAGATCACCTGGAGGTTGCTTGGTCTTCACTCTGAGGTCACTTGGAGGTCGCTTGGACGTCACTTTTTTTTCCAAAAATTTTTTTTTCTATTTTTCCCAAAAAAAAAAAAAAATTCTAGAAATTACAGAAAAATTCTAAAAAAAAAAATTTTTCAAAAAAGGTCACAGACGTCACTAGAAGGTCACTTTGAGGTCACTTGAGATCACCTGGAGGTTGCTTGGTCTTCACTCTGAGCTCACTTGGACATCACTTGAGATCAACTGGAGGTTGCTTGGTCTTCACTCTGAGCTCACTTGGACATCACTTGAGATCAACTGGAGGTTGCTTGGTCTTCACTCTGAGCTCACTTGGACATCACTTGAGATCAACTGGAGGTTGCTTGGTCTTCACTCTGAGGTCACTTGGAGGTCGCTTGGACGTCACTTTTTTTTCCAAAAATTTTTTTTTCTATTTTTCCCAAAAAAAAAAAAAAATTCTAGAAATTACAAAAAAATTCTAAAAAAAAAAAATTTTTCAAAAGAGGTCACAGACGTCACTAGAAGGTCACTTTGAGGTCACTTGAGATCACCTGGAGGTTGCTTGGTCTTCACTTTGAGGTCACTTAGAGTTGGCTTGGACGTCTCTTAGACGTCATTTGGACGTCACTTTTTTTTCCAAAAATTTTTTTTTCTATTTTTCCCAAAAAAAAAAAAAATTCTAGAAATTACAAAAAAATTCTAAAAAAAAAAATTTTTTCTAAAAAAAAAAAATTTTTCAAAAGAGGTCACAGACGTCACTTTGAGTTCACTTTGAGGTCACTTGGACGTCACTTTTTTTATTCTCAAATTTTTTTTTTCCCAAAAAAAAATTTCTAAAAAAAAAAAGAATTTCTACAAAAAAGAAACAATTCTAAAAAAAAAATAAAATTCTAAAAAAAAAAAAAAATTTTCAAAAGAGGTCACAGAGTCACAGACATCACTTTGAGGTCACTTTGAGGTCACTTGAGATCACCTGGAGGTTGCTTGGTCTTCACTCTGAGGTCACTTGGAAAATGGTTAAAAAGCCTCGAAAAGATTAAACACTGAAGATGTAATACTTTAAACTTGATTCGAGACTTGCCTGTTTTAACTTGGGACATGACTCAGGAATTGAGAGCAAAGACTTTGCTTGTGACAAAACAATGATTTGGTCCCACCTCTGGGTTAGGGTGAAAGTTAAGTTGAGGATTAGAGTTCAGACATTTTTCTGTGATTGATTGATGAGATTATACCCCTTGACCTTTTCTTTTCCTAAGAATTAAAACTTAACAGAAAAACAAGTGATGACAACAGCAAGAAAGCCTTTTATTTTTTTTATTTAACCAAAACAAACAAACAGGCTGAAAGTTTTCACTGCTATGTGTAGTCACTTCCAAAAACACTTCCACTTTTTTTCTCTACAATATTGTTATGGCTTTCTCCATCATCATCATCATCACCTTAATTATACAGATTGATCATATGTGGCTGCTGTCATAGGGACTTTTATATATATATATAAATAATGTAATGTAAAGCTTTTTTAACCGAATTGTAAAGACGTCAACGCGGCCTGTGTCACTGACTCCTCATAAAAATTGAACACAGACGCCCTCTCGTGGTCACAGTTTCTTGTCGTTGAACGGTTTCTGCCAGGCTGGCAAGATGTGTTCATAAATCTTGTCAATCTGCAGAACAAACAAGCAACACGTCAGGATAAAAGGTGACGGACGGTTGTGGACGTGTCTCCCGGTGGGTGTTCACCTGTTGTGATTTCTTGACGCCATATCTGAAGAGTGTGGCCTGGTGCTCACTGTTGTGGAACAAGATGTCAAAGGTCATCTCCCTGCCCATTATGTCATCGATGCTGGACTTCACTATTGTGTGGAAGTCTCTGGGTGAGAACGAGTCATCCAGCATGTTACTGACCTGTGACACAGACCACAGGGACGATCAGCAGGGAATCAATCAAATCAACAGTCTGAATGTGTTTGCGTGTGTGCAAGACCTTGTATTTTTTCCCCAGCAGGTCCAAGGGATCCAGTCTGACCTGTGACTTTAGAGCACGACCAAAAAGCTCCAGTTTGGTATCTGAGTCTAACACAGAATAAAAGAAACATAAGTGAAAAATCATACTTTTGTTACGGGCCTCCTTTATATTTTAAACAAAGATAATCCTAACTGTTTATATATTTATAAACAAAGGTGTAGATCACAGTGGGAGGGGAAGGCTTATAACTATATAAAAAATATTATACTACAAATCAGGATAAATTAAAGTGAACTTCCAGAGATGGTTGTATTTGGGTGTTTTATTAATTCATTTAAATCTTAACAGAACAAATCTTACTGTAAGTCTTGCTCCTGTGTTTGTCCCTGGTGTTAAAATACCTTCAAACTTCTTGACATACTTCAAAAAAAATACCCATTTGGTCACGTGACAATAAACTGCAGAAAAATGTGCAGCTGGTTGTGACAGAAACTCATAGTGGTGTACCAGTTCACTGGATTGGGACATGGTTGTGAGAAGTATTTGAATAAAGTATCCGCCCAATTATAATAACAAGAAGAAGAAACTCACAAGATGTAACGTCTATCTAAAGTCTTTCTAAATATTTCTCTGTGTAGGTTCCCAGTCATCCAGGTCATTTAATCCAAAAATAGTTACACTGAGGGCAACTGACTCTCATCCAAGAGGCTTCTTCAGTTCTGAAAGTTCTTCAGCCTCTTGGATGAGAGATGAAACGTCTTCAAAAAAAAAAAAAAAAACAACTTCGTCCAGTTGCCCTCGATGTAACTATTTTTGAGTATCTAAATATTTCTAGACAGAAAAAGAGTTCACCAACCTCGACTGGTCAGATGAGCCACATAAGGGACGCCGTCCCTTTCACCATAGTACACTCCGAAATGTGATACGTATTTGTTCCTGGGAAACTCTACGATGTCTCCCGGGTACAACTTTGGTTGAGAATATTTCTGAGCAAAAAAAATGAAAGAAACTGTCAAAAACTTCAGAACAAAGCCAATTGTAATATAAATGTTCACCATATAGGGGCAGCAGAGAACAAAGACGTCTGGAGTACCACAGGTCCTATGACATGACCAGCTAAACGACTCATCTTCTATGGTCTTTGGTTGAAAACTTTTCACATTAGACATACATTTTTAAATGTTACAAATATGTTCTCCTTAACTTTTTTTAAATTTTAGAACAAATTTAAATGTTTTTAACTTTTGTGCGGTCACATATACTCACGCACACGCGCGCGCACACAAGGACATATTGGTCTTTTTGTCCTGGTCTAGGTGACCCGGACCTTACAAGGGTTAAATATACTTCATCATGAATCCAACACTTTGTATCACTCTAACAGCCAATGAGAAAGGTAAGTAAGATAAATATTAAAGTCAGTGCGTAAACAGCCCTAATATAAAGAAAATGAGATCAGAATGTTTACTCACCTGACCCATGAGTGAAGATACTTTGGTGGCTTTCCTCAGTCAACTCTGAAATAAACCACACATCACATGCAGCTGCTTTACATACAGACCGTGAAGATAAATGCAGGACGTTATGGTCACCGATGCCTGACCTTATTCTTCTGCTTTTTTATGACCAGACCATAATATAAATACTTAAGACCAATTACCCAATTAATCCTTGAGTAAATATTAAAACCTTGTACAGATCATTGCTCATTTAATTGACCTGGGATCTTTAGACAGTTTTAGTGCGATGTTAAAAAATTAAATATAAAATGAAGTGTTATTAAAGAGTAATGAACAATATTGTTGCTAAATACAGATGAAAATACTTAGCACAAGGGTTGTCCCCTTCACCAGAGCGTGAAACTCAGGGTGTGAACAGCAGGTGTTTCCTGTGTGAAAGGAGGAAGAGACTTCAGTCTTCTTTCACATCACATCATGTAATGGACCTGGAAGAAAAGGCAGAAAGGCCCCCTGAGGCAGACAGACGTTCCTCCAGTTCAACCTGGACATTCAAATCTGTTCACCAGCTCCTGGAGGAAAAGCTCAGACTCTGACCAGTTTTTTATTTTACAAATATGGAAGAAAAACAATCACCGTTGTTCACTCCTCAGTTACAGAAATGTACAACATTTGGTTTTAAATCATTTTAGGCAGAAGGCTTTTCTGAAAGGCAACGTGGTCCAGTGTGCGACATAGTGACGTCTGGTGGGGATTGCAAAAGTACGTGTTGAAGGACAATTTAATAATATCTAATAAACATATCGAAGAGGGAAAAATGATGTCAAATCTAACGTTACTGAAATTGCACCTTTAGTAAGTTTAACGAGTTAAAAAAATTCACAGTATCAGGTTAGCGTTTAAACCATTAAAAGGCAATATTTTTACGTTGACCTGTTTTTGAAGCACAAGGATGAAAATTCTTAGCTAAAGCTCATAAAATGTTTTGAACTGCAGGGCAAATTCTACAATCTTAAAGAGTAAAACCTTTCTGCAAATTTAAATTCTATTAAATTAACTTGTTGCATTAAATTGTCACAATCAGAGGACTATTAAAAAGCTGAAGCTAAACACATTTTATGAATCTAAAGGCCTCAGATACGTATGATGACTGGAGACAGTCCCTGCTTTTTGCCCCTAAGTAATCACTAGCACTGTACACTAGCATTTTCAAGTTAACTATGAAGTATCAGTCTTTTTTAACCACCTCTACATTGTCATGTGTTTTGTAGCATTTTTTCATAAACAATATGTAGGTCTAGAAATATGAAGTCACGTTTGAAGCTCCTGAGTTCATCCTTAACCTGAGGTGGAAGTTGGCAGCAACAACATTCTACATTCTATTTAAGAATAATTTTCATTTCAAAACACGACTTTTCACTTACAATTCAATTTCCTGAGTTTTGTAATGAATCCTTAAAATACACACATACTTGGCAGTTACTATGAACCAAATACTGCGGAGTTTTTTTTAACTTTCATTAGTAACAATGACAGGTTCACCAGTAAAGGCACATTCCACCTGTGACTTCTTCATGTAGTTCCTTCACTCCATAACATTATAAAACTAATAGGGCAGATTATAATCCAAGGGAACTAATATTTGTACCAACTCTAAATAAAAACCTTTTACCTTTTTCAGCCATTTGTACTTTTAAATATGCATGGTAAATAGAGCTTGAGGTACTAACAAAAACTGCTCCCCTGTGAGGGTCGGGTCCCCCCCCCAACCCCCACAACATCAATGGTTTATTCCACCTCTAGATTTCTCATGCAATTGAAATACACTACACTATCAATAATGCGCTGGGGACACCAGACTGCCGCTGTGGTGATCAGCTGTGGGTTCACCTCACCACCAGAGGGCAGCAGAGTCTTGTAGTAATTAAACTTTAATCCTGCTGTTCTGTTACTTGTCTCTTTGGTGATTTGGCTGCATATTAAAGTAAAATGTAATGCACACATTCTCTACACTAGCTTCAAACTCAACCAATCATTTACTTCCAGTGTGGCAGTAGAAGATAAAGATGTTCATTCACACCATTCATAGAACAAAGTTCTGTTAGCAGCAGTTCTAGAATCAGTTTTACCAACACATTCCCCCCATTCACACCGTTTTTGGGGACTTTGGTGATTTCTTCAAGTCTTCAGTTCTTTAATCGATTAGAGAAGTCTCATCTTTGTGCATTTATGTGCTGACTGACTCTACAGATTATTTACCTGTTAACTTTGCTGAGGAAAATTATAATTCAGTGTCCTCCTGTGTCTCCTGAGCATCCTGAGTGTCCTGCATCCACCCAACGCTGTGGACGTTGTTGTGTTTGTCCCAGCTGTCCGTGTTGTGCCCGTGCTTTCTCTGATGACGCTTGTAGTTGTCCCAGTGTCCCGTGGTGTAGTCGCACTCGGCACAGGCGTACGGCTTCTCCCCCGTGTGCCGCAGCATGTGCCTCTTCAGGTTCATGCTCTGGTTGCAGGAGTAGCTGCAGACACCGCAGTGAAATGGTTTGGCACCTGAATGGATTCGCTCATGGCGCCGCAGGTTGGCCAGGTTCCCACAGGCGTAGCTGCAGGATGGGCACTGGTAGGGTTTCTCACCCGTGTGGACCCGGGTGTGTCGCTTTAGGTTGTCAAGGTGTGAGGAGGTGTAAGGGCAGTGAGGGCAGTGGTGGGGTTTCTCCTCAGAGTGGATGAGGGCGTGACGAGTCAGGTGATTGGGGTAGTGGGACTTGAAGGCACAGTGAGGACATTGGTACATCTGGGTTCTTCTTCGATCACTACGAGGTCCATGAGACACCGCTGCACCAGATTCATCTTTAGACATCAGGTCAGACAGACAACGACGACACACCTAGAATCAATTAAAGAAGGATGAAGGGGGTTAGAAGACATGTTTGTGTTTGACTACAAATGGAACAATTAGAAAGACACATGAATATACCGGTCCTCTCTCCTCCTCGCCTTCTTCCTCTTCATTAGCCTTGCTCTCCTGCAGGTCAACCTCCTCCAGCGTTAGTCCACACACTTGACAGGAGAGCGGGAAGAGGAGGACAGGAAGCGGGGCAGAGGGAGAGCCAAGGCCTCCCAACGTGTGAAAGAAACCAGAGACCTGGGAAATTCTCAAAGTCAGGTCTGATACAACTGCACGAAGGGAGGAGAGGAAAAAAAAAATCACATACATTTTCTTAGTTTTAAAACCTTTTTATTTTTTAACGTCAACTTTGCCCCGGTTATTTTTTTTAACCAAATTTGCTGGTTGATAAAAATCATCATCCTGTTACAGCTTGGCTCAGAGGTTAATTTAAAGTCACCCACTTCTCATTTGTATTTTTAAACCTTCTCAGTTTCAACAGTCATTTCCTCTTTATGCTTCTCTTCTTTAAGTTTCTCTTTAAAAAAAACGACAGTCTAGATTTTTAAATGTCTGTCCCTTCATTATGAAAGTGTAATATGAAACCAGTTTTTGGTTGGTGATGATCAACATGCAGGAGAAAAGTTTAGTAATTTCTTTTTGAATATATGGTGAAATAAAAATGACTGTAAGTCAAGATTCCTGTGAGGCTCCTGACTAGAGGTTGTTGATTTAAAAGCCTTAAACTCCCTGAATCGAAGTTGTTGGGTTTACATCTTCTTCTACTTACTAATAAAATTATTCTATTTACAACAAATTACAACAATCACGTTACTAAGAATGCTATTTTACCAAACTTGATCTAATTCAAATGTAAAGATTACTTCAGGTTTCTGTACCATCTCACTACCCCTAATGCTGTCACAACCTCTGGTGAAGTAAAAGGGTCAAACAGCTACTGAAAAGAACTTTTCCCTGAGTCATTGCAAAATTTTTCCCACCTTCTTCAGATTCAGCATGTGTTTTTTTCTGTTGTCCTCTCTTTTTATGCTTCTCCGGTCTCTGCGGTTTCTCCTGCATGTGCATGCGCTGGTGCCTCCGCAGGTTTCCCAGGGAGCTGCAGGCATAGCTGCACTGTTGGCATCTGTATGGCTTCTCCCCGGTGTGCGTGCGGGCATGTCTCTGCAGGTTGACCAGCTGAGCTGAGGCGTAGGGGCAGACAGGGCAGCGGAATGGCTTCTGGCCATTGTGGATCTTCATGTGGCGTTTCAGGTGGTTGGAGTAACGGGTGGTGAAGGTGCAGAGTGAGCAGGAGTACAGTTTACTTGGGGTACTAGTGGCAGCAGCCTCCTTACCCGTGCTCTTTTTTTTCTTGTCGCTGCCAAAAGGTTCGTCTGACAGGTTTGGGTTATTTACCTGAGAGGAGTCCACAAAAGTTTTGAGCTCAATTTTTTCCAGGCAGGTGAGACAGTACAGCTCTGCCCCTAACTCTAGACCCAAACCTGTAACAGAATTAAACAAGGTGACATAACAGAAAGGTGGGGGTGGGCAGCTATGGCATCATCAAACATTCACAAAATTTAAATTCTACATCAGAGGTTTACAGTATTTTTACATTTATTTGGCATTTTTAAAAGAAAACATTTAAACGTCATTGCAGACTAAATCAAAACATTTTCATTACTTTTCAAATTTTCCAGACTATAGGTCGCACTGGATGATAAATTATTTCTGAAACATTCCACAAGGATGATTACTGTATAAAGACTATTAATTTACACAACAGTCTAAAGACTGTAAGCTAAATACATAAATGTTACAAGAAAACAAGTTCAACGGGTTCTTGATGTTAGTCCACATCACATTGTGTTCCTTCTAAACAATTTCTACTATGGAGGAAGATAAAGCTCCTTGTGCGGCGCTGTCGTCAGACTCACCATCAGCAATACGAAAATGTATGTTCATCTGCTTTAATACTGTTTTTGGCTGTAGTATGTTTTTCTTTTTGGTTGCTTTTATTTGTTTTAATTGACGTCTTCATGGAAGTTAGTAAGTTATTTTTTTCTTTTGCTTTTATGTCTTTAGGGAAGTCCCAATGATTTAGACGTTCAATTATTCAGTGGTGAACTATACCGCATAGTTTTTAGGAATGTGGCCCTAGATGACATCTGATGTACTTTTGATCTTTTCATCTAAAGTACTAAAAAAGTGCAACATATAGTTGAGTATGTATGTTAATCTTCATCTTCTGTTTATCTTCATTTTATGTTGTGATATTACAAACATAATCCTCAACATAAATAAGAATAGACTGGAGATGTTCGCTTACCCAGATCTAGTCCTGCACCCACTGGGGAGTCTCCTAAAAGTTGACCACATCCTTTACAAGAAAGGAAAGCTGGGTAGGGGGAGTCTGTTGGAGCTGAAGCATCATTATCGTCCTCTGCACTCAGAGAGAAAACTGTCACATCTGAAGAACAGAGAAGAGTAACAGAACAAAACATGGAGTTTGTTGTTGCTTGATGTGAAACCACTTCGTATCCAATGAATGCAGCAGACAGCTGCATTCCTTCACATTACTGGGCAGGACACCTAACTTTAAGTTGTCCATTGTACCCCGGCCTCCTAGTGAGGGTCCCATGACTGGACTTAAAGAACAATTAGGATAATGTCAAGAAAAAAGGAAAGTGGTAAAACGGCAAAAATTAGATGTAGATTTATGTCCCTGAGATCCACGGAGACAGAAAAATTTCAATACATCATAAATCATAATCAGCCGGACTGGGGATACACAATATGAGAGGGAGGTGGAGGTAAGGGGTGAGTTTGAGATAAAAGAGAAAGAGAAAAGTATTAGAGAAAGAGAAAAGAAATTGGAATAACTAAAACAAAGACAAAAGAAAAGATTCGAATGAACTCAGCTGACTGTAACGACGTCAGTGACAAAACTCCAGTGATGTCACCGATTCCATTGATGTCATGTTCCCTTGAAGTCTTAGATTCAATTTATGTCACTGTTTGGACCATTCATCCTTGTACACAGGAGTCATTCTTTATACAGCAGCAGGTAAGGAAGGAAGAGGAGGCAGCAGTAATGCAACATTACAAAGAACTGCAGTGCTGAAGAAGAAAGGAATAGACCGATGAAGACGTTCAAAGCAGAGGCCAAGGAAGGAGACGAAAGTAATTCATCAGTTAGATGCTAACTGCCATAAAAAACAGATAACGATAGTCACTGAAATAAATCAAGAGCTGTAACTGTTGCGACTGGAATTCTAGCTGCAGTTCACTGACAGAATGGATCCAGAAGATTCTGATGCAGCTCTAGATGTGAAGCCCCCGGAACAGACAGAAACTCAGCCGCCCCAGGTGACGGATGTCATATGTGGGAACACAACCAACGTGTATCAATGTAACCATGACCTGTCAGACCCAGAGAACCCTAACCTAAATACACTGCAGGTTGCAGTGTCAAGGGTGAGAGGCACAGATGGGTGTGAAACAACAATAGCGAGCAGGCTTTCTCTAGGGACGCAAACTGGAATGAGCATTGTTGTGGACATTAAGCATATTAAAAGGAAAAAAGCGGTGAGGCATAACCACAGAGTCACGGGACTGGTGAGGAAAGTGGACCTAGCACTGCAGGTGGGAGACCCTGAGGTGATGCCAGAGAGAAAATATGAGAAGTGGAGGATGTGGGCGATCATGGTGGCTACAATGGTGCTCACTGTCATCATCATTGTACTCTCACTTCTAGCAAACAGGAAGAAATGAAGTCAATGCTGAAGGTTATTTAAAGAACACCAGGAGAAAGGTTTTGAGACAAGCATGCTAGAAACATGCTCAGTTGTTAAAAGACTGAGATGTTAAAGGCTTAAAGCCAGTGAAAAATATAGTTCCCTTTGCTGAAACCTAAGTGTAAAGGAACCAGCTAGGCTTCAGTATCTCAGAGAACATGTCTTTTAGCATGAAGGACATGTTTTTTGTAGTTAGATATATGCACATAACAAAAGTATTTCTAATCAAATGCTACACTTACATTACTATATTGCTGACACAAAGGTTAGAATTTGACATTGGTTGAGAAAACATCCCTGATGATCTAAACAGCTCTTGAGATTTCCAAAATAAAAATTTTAAAGCCACAAGTAAAAAATACCGCATAAAGTCAGCTTTACCAAGTCGGAAACACAAATATCAACATTATCTCCTGTAGAACACACACAGTTGTCATTACTTTTTCCAAAAATGACACTAAAACGTGTATGCACCACATACCAGCTTCCTCGTTCAGACCTATGATCTCTGGGTCTCCAAACTCCAGCTCCCCACTCAGAAGGAAGTCTCTCTCCAAAACCAGGCAGCTCTGTTCACAGGACACCAAGCCATCCTCACAATCTACTGAACAAATACAAACAAACACGCTTAACACTTTGCCTCAAACATCTTTCCATTCCTGGCGATTCATTCATGAATTATAAACATGGATGTGAACGCTGTAACCATAAACCATTATTAACCAGGATTAAATACACATATTGGTGTTCAAAAAAAAAAGAAGTGAAAAGAATAAAGAGGATGGAGAAGATGGTGAAGTAGCTAGAGAGGAAGCTGAGGCAAGGAGAGGAAGTTGGTGAGGTAGAGATAAGTGCAGAGGAAGAAGAGTTGGGGTTTGAGGAATAATGAAGTCCAGCGGGTCAGGAAAAGGAACAGTAAAAGAGGGACATGTGAAACAAACAGCATTAATGAAAAAACATGTTTTTTCAATAAAAAATGCTTAACAAAAAATGTAGTAGTGGGACTTAAAATTTGTCTCGATAACTCATTATATTTCAACTATCTGTAGACTTGTTGCAAGAAAAAAGATAAGAATTTAAATTTCCAACAGAAAAGGGCAGCAGGAGTATCTACAAAAAACAGTACCAAATATGAGCTTTAAGTAAGCCGAGAGTTAACCACATAATTTCTTTAGTTCAGGCTTAATTTTAAGCATTAAAAACTTCTGTTTTCTTATAAAACAGAAATAACTGAAAGGAGACCTGATCACACTGTCCAGGAAATGTGCAGATACGCTCCTGAAACTGACACATTTTTTCCCACCCACTACTTTATCACTTTGCTGAAAAGAACCTCAATACAAAATACTACTAAATGATTAAAAATAAGATAAATGTGCGGAAGAGATAAAAAGAAACAAAGGAAGGAGGAGAAAGAAAACAAGGAAGGGAAAAGGAAGGAGTGTTTTGTGGAGGTCAGGTGAAATTGTGTGGAGAGGAAGAGAGGAAGTGGAGGAACCAACAGGAGCCAGAACAGTCAGGATGAGATAAGAACCAAAGGATTAGAGGATTCCAACAGGCTGTGTCTTCGTTGTTTCTGATACAAACACAAGTGTCTATACGCACATTTGTGTCATGTCATTTTTTAAATCTGTAATCTTTTGAACATTTTCCATTTCATGCATTTTTGTTATTTATTTATTATTTAACCATTTCAGGTGAATTGTTTTTTTAAAAACATTAAACCATTAAAACCTCATTCTAGGTGATTTGTTTATTTTTAAGGATACTCTCTTATTTAAATGTCAACACTGTATTGCCCTTCTGCATTACAGAACAAATAGTTATTTCTCACCCACAAAGGAGGAAGAATGGGAAGCCGAAATAAAAATACAAAATTAAAAAAATATAACTAAAGTTGATACCTTACATACACCACAACTGGAAGAGGAAGTACTCGTCCTGAAACGTCAATTTGTTAGACAAGCTGAGATACTACACTGACTCACAGTCTGCTAATGTCGATTGGAATCAAAAACTTGTGTAAAAAAATATCTATTGCAGTTTAGAAACATCTAATCAATCACTATAGTGATCAAGTATTTTTCAACTTTTGTTGATTAGTGAGGAAATTTAAACCAATCGCGTGACGTGAACCGGCTCGAAACACATTGGTATTTAAAAACAGAAAAGTGAATCCACTCACCTTTTACTGGCTGCGGGTTTGACTGTTTCCTCCGCGGCATTTTTACTCCCTCTGTTTTTTTCAGCCTCAAACACCAACTCACACACCGACAGACTGAACTGGTGTGGACTGGGCTAGTCAGTTAACAACATGTCATCTTCCTCGTTACTTCCTTCCTCTTCCTCCAGTGGACAGAAGCAGCAACAGCAGACAGTGCTGGTGCCATCATCGGTAGTTACAGTCTCTACACATAAGAGTTTCAGAAAAACACAAATGGGCTTTTACTACTTATAACAGCCTCTATTTGGCTAATTGTCCCTCTGTTGTTTTCTGTTTTTCAATGACAGCGAAACGACAGACTTTAAAAGCCAACTGTTCAGTCAAGTTGTAGAGCGACCGCGACCTTGTTAGCCACTTAGCCGAAAGCTAACTGTACGTTAAAACTTAGTTCTGAAAGTTTCTTATTAAATATAAGACTATAAATTGTCTAAAAAAACATTGTTCAACAACTTACCTGTCATACATTTACACAAAAAGCGGGTGTCGACACAATCCCAACAAATAAACACAAACACGAAGCTACTGCTTTGAACTACGCCGGATCCGGGGTCCTGCTGACGTCGACAGCAAAGAATTCTGGGATATGACGTCTTCTAATTCTCCACACTACGCATAAACAAGGTCGGTAACTCATTTTCCTTTCTTTTTTTTTTCAAAACAGAAAACTAAAGTAAGAGCAACATTCAAAAATTAGAGTTAGAATAAGAACTAATGCTTTTTTTAAAAAAAAAAGTTACGACAATACCACTGAAGATCGAGAGAAAAAAGTAATTCAGGGAAAACGTGCAACTTGGTCCCTGAAAATTAAAAGAGAGGTTTTCAAGAACACAAAAAATACATATAAAACCACACAATAGGGCGAGATTATTTATTAGACATTTCTA